TTAATTGTTATTAAATTTTAATCTTAATAATTTTTTTTAATGCGATGTTGATCTCTCTGTTGATTAAATCTGCTTGAAAAATATTTAAATCCCTTTAAATTATAATTTTTTTTTATATATAAAATAATTTCGAAAGATAATAAAATTAATCATTGAGTAAAGAAAAATAAAAGTATAAGAGGAGTTATTAGTCTGAAAATTGAAGGTTCGAGTGATGAAACATCAACATGCTTTAAAATATTATTAAATATTTATCTTTACCAAGTTCGCGTGTCAGAGGACTTAATATAGGAAGGTTGGAAAATAAATTATTTACGAAACTCTTGATTATACCCAAGTTTAATTAGAAAACATTTAAAATTCATTATCTGATTTAAATTCGATAGAATATTCTAGAGAATTTTTACATATAATATTGGAAAATTATAAAAATTCAATACTTTAAAAATCCTCTCTTATAGAAGAGGAGGAAGAGAAGGAAGAGGCTATTATTGAAATTCGTAAACTATACCCAAGTTTAATTAGAAAACATTTAAAATTCATTATCTGATTTAAATTCGATAGAATATTCTAGAGAATTTTTACATATAATATTGGAAAATTATAAAAATTCAATACTTTAAAAATCCTCTCTTATAGAAGAGGAGGAAGAGAAGGAAGAGGCTATTATTGAAATTCGTAAACTAATGTTTAGTTGAAGCTTTTCCCCATCAATAGCTTTGTGAGAAAATATGAGTTTGCATATTTCATCATTGAGACGTTTAAAAATATTACTTGTCAAGTAGAGGGTCCACAGGTTGGGCAAATTGCCAGGTCGTGCCATTTACACAGTAGATAAGCAGGTGGGATATCTAATCATGTGTATAAAGCTTTCCCAACACCTGCCTCCGAGTTCATGGCCATGACTTGAGATCGTTAAGTCGAGTCAATATCTACACTTATCTATAATGCTGATGACTAACTCAATGGCTTTTAATTAACACAAACACGGGCGATCCTTAAACTAATGATAAAAGCTATAGTCTATACCAGTATTAAAATAATGTAATGAAAAGTTTAGATATCGTGAGACAGAATAGGAAATTTGTATAAATACTTTTAAAAGTAAGTACAGTACATAAATTTGTATCGCTTATATTATTAAATTTTCTTCGGGGTGAAGAACTTGATTAAGATGCTATAAGTGATGGATACGGAGGTTTTACTCTTGTCTTCTTCCGTACAGTCGAGGTGGAAGATGACACTTGTTCAATTTAACAAATTGATTGATCAGTTCGATAACTGATCGATCAATCAATTGTAGACAATAAAAAGCTAGAAATACACGATTCGACAATATATTTTATCATTGTTACTGAGTAATTTATCATTTACGACAATCTAGATATTAATTTTAAACATGAAAACTTATCTTCCCTGTAATACATCCGTAGATAAGATGTAGAATTTTAAGTGGACACAAAAAAAAAGAAAAAATTAAATAAAATTAGACTATAAAAACTTAATTAGACGGTTTACTAAAATGGCCTAGTATCAAATATACAAATTTTTAAGTTTTCTGCTGATTACTTCAAAAGAGAAGGAAAGGAAAGGGGAAGGAAAAAAGGGAGCGACTTTACTTCACAAGTTGAAAGATTGATGATCATCCTTCTTTAGCTATAGTTATGACCAGATATAGATCAACTAGAACCGAGTAAAAAACAATGTCAGTTTCCAAAAATAAGTTTTAAAAAAATTCATATAATAAGGCAGATGGTATCAAGGAAGTGAGAAACCGAATACCTTTTCGATAAAAATCTTAAAAGATATCTTTTCTAGATAATTTCTAGGGATGATGTTTTTCTAATAATACAAAAATCTAGATCTTGTTAATGAAATAAAACATAAATTCTTGTAGTTTAAGGAATGATTAATATATTTGCATAACTTCTAACATACCTTCTAGAAATTACAGATGAAAATTCTAGATTTAAAAAAGTTCTAGATGTATAAATAGAAAGAGAGATTGATATATTCTACTGATAATTTTTTAGCGTAACCTACTTAAAATATCAAATTACGAACGAAAGTAATGAGCAAGAAAATGCAATTTTACGCATTTAATTGAGTTAAATGTTATCATCATTAAAGAAATTTTAACACATTTAATAGGTTTTTAATCGTAATTATTATTTTATACGAAAGATTTTTTCAATATTTTCGTACGTAAGAAGCGAATTATTAATATCCTTACCAATTTTTTTTTCTTTTTTAATAAATGATCATTGGTTGCAGGAGTGCAGATTTTTAGCTGACTGATCAAAAAATTCTATCGTTAAGTTCGGGTAAAGAAAATTACTTTTAGGTATATTTAAAATGTGCAATAAATAAAACAAGGGAAATATAGCAGTAAGAAGAATGAAAGGCAATAGAAAGCAATCATAAAAGTAAAATTACGGCAGAAAGAATATGACTAAACTGAGATTTTACTTTCATTCATTGTATAGGAATAGGTTCGATTTTTATCTACGTTGGAGTAAAACAGGACGTTTAAGTCATGAGAAAAGGAAGAAATTAATTCCCGTTTGATACGGTATGCCTGCTTTATGTCAATGGCCTTCTTCATATTCTATCTAGCAGCCATTGCAAAAGGGTAGTTATGCTGTGATGTATGAACTCCAACTGACGACAACCGAAACATAATTACTGTGGCTTAGGTCACAGTTTATGGATTACTGGATGTAATTTTCATTTTTATATCTCCACTGGCGACCAGAAACGAGGAACTGTTATGTGGGACTATTAACGTTAAATTTTATGGAGAGAAATATTTTACATTTTTGAAGAGAAAAATATGTTCAAAATGTGTCATCTCTGGAGTGTTTTACTAAAGCTCTTATTATAATTCTACTTACTTTATTGAACACCCAAGCATTGACAGTTAAAATTTTTCTTCTTATTAGTTGCTTCACCCATTGACAATTATTGTTCCTTACGGCTCTTTAGGGTTTTTAAGTATTATATTGTCTCTGTTTATTTTTAAGTAAGAGAATAAGTATTAAGACAAGCTTAATTTAATGATTTTTTTTAATATTATTTTTCTAGTTTAAACAGTGTTTCCAGCTTGTATTTTTTATGTAAAAGAGAAAGAAAATAGTATATTGTGGTTTTACTTTCTCAATTTAAGATAGATGCTAAGAAAAAAGTAGACAATGAAAAAATGATAAGAAAGATGAGACAGGAAGAGGGAGAAACATCCGATATTTATATATGTAGAGAAAAAATTTGGAATGAAAGGTAAGAAAGTTAGAAGGGAGAAATGTAGTCGATTGTTAATATCGAGACAAAAAAATATGGAGTAAAGATACATGGAGCTATAAAGAATAAAGAGGAGTATAGAGGATAAATGACTTAAGGAAAAGTAAGGAGAAAGCAAGAGATAGAGACAGGAAAAAGCAGAAGAAGAGAAAGGAAGGTAAGAATAAAACTGATATGAAAATACCAAACTAAATAAGATAAAGAAGTAATAATTAATCATTTCGATAGTTATAAAAAAAATACTTTTATTGTAATTACCTAGGCGCTTAATTATATTCAACACTTTTGAATTAATAAACACCTTCAACAGTTGTTAATATCATTAATATATTTTTCTTATTATAGGCCTATATATAACCTATATATATGTATATACTTTAGATAATTTTATACGTTTTGTAATTAAAACATTTTTGAAAACAATCGGGTTACAGAATTATTTAATCTATTCTTAATTAATATAACAATAATTAGTTAGTTCTAAGTTAAACGAATTGATGTTGTTCAAGTAATTATTTTCATTAAATTTTTTTCTTTATTTTTATTTTTCCATCTTTCTTGCTTTTGTTATTTTCAGCGAGAAATAACTAGTTTAAGTTCATACATTCACTAATTTTATGTAGATTAATTGCTTTTTATAGTTTTAATTATTTTTCCTTTTTTTTCCCATCGTTGCTCTTCTTCTTCCTCTCCTTCCTCCTCTTCTCTTCTCTTATTCATTTAAGTATACACGGATTAATTAATTTAATATTAAACCTTGATTAATAATTTATTTAATAAGTTTTCTATGATAATCTTTGTTTTTTAATTAAATAATAAAAATCGAATTTTATAAAGATAAAGTAAAATTATTTTAACTAGGATTATGATTAACCTTATGTAAAAGAACTCGTATGTCTTCTCATTAATGTAAAGAGGAAAGATGTCATTTTACAATCCTAAATGTCACTTTAAAGAGAATATTTCGAATTAAATTGATACGAAATTCTTAAAGAAAGGATATAAGGAATCGATAAAATATGACGTGATTGACTTCATAAAAATAAGGAGGGGGAAAAAAAATTGTTATATTTTAATGGCGACCTACTACCGATCATTATAGAATGTCAGGTATAACAAGCTGTCTTATTATTATTATTTTTATTATTACAGACAAAAATTCTACAGGTTATCTATTTTTAAATAAAGTTACAAAGATACTAAAAAGTTTTATAATTTTTTTTCTAAATTATATCCAAGTTAAAGCTTTAAAATTAATGATTAAAGTCTTAAAAAATTAATTAAAGCTTAATTAAATTATATATTTATAAGTATATATATTATATAGACTTAAAAAAAATGCTAAATAAATTTTTTCCTTTTTACGTGATTTATCAACTTGTTTTTCCTTTGTTGATGGAGCAAAAAAGTAAAGTTCCTGGTCAACCGCTAAGTAAATTTGGAGAAACAATACCGCAACAAGTCCATATATCGTCCCCAAGTTCAAAATTCCTTTTAATGTACTGTACTTTCGCATTATCTTTCGTAAAGACAAGAGATAACCGAGTCTAGAGTCGTTTTCTTTTAAAGTATTTTTTCTTGTTTCGTCCTTGTACACAAGAAAGGTTTCGAGAGAAATTCAGAGAAGAGGACTTTCTTGTTTTTCTTACTAATCTTCTAAAGAGAAAACCTTGAAAGGATCTTTAGTGAAGACATTACCTGTGGGTATTAACGTGGGGGAACGTGTATAAGGTTATCACGTAGATATTTTATAGAAACTAACCACCTAAACGTCGCTAATTTAATTTCTATAATTAGAAATGTCACCCGATAAACGGAATATCAAAACGACACAGTTTAAAATTTAAAATTAACCAATCACCAAAACGGACTTTATCACGTGGTGGACGCGTCTCAGAAATTGACCAATAATCGATATGAATGTTATCGACACGTGACGTCATTTTAAATATTTTAAAATATCCAATTAGAAAATCGTAACGTTTCGTTTAAATATTTAAATTTAAAATAAGTAACGAATAAAAAGGGAAAGACACAATTAGTGGAAACAGTATGTTAAACAGCGTACACGTGACCAGTTTTTGAATTGTAAAGTTAATTAGCACGAAATTTTAGTGGAATTATTTAGAAAGAGAAACAATAATTGTCATTCTAGTATACATGCGAGTAATCAGAGAAAGGGAAATTCTCGGAACTTTACACGAGAACCATCCTTCAGAGGGATGTAACAGAGAATGATAAATGGAGTTGAAGTTTTTTCGCCCCCTTTTATTTCACAGTACTGACACCACGAGGCCATAGCCTTGAAGAGCCTCATTAACTATCCGATAAGGCACCAGCTCCTTATCTGCTCCCCATCCTGTACAGTAGGGAATTGTTGGAGTCGATGGATGGTCGCCACTCGTATACAATAGACAAATGTAGATCTTTGGACGAACAATCGCTTAACTGCATTTTTCTTTACAATTGACATTTTCTATAATTATTCTATAATTGACATTCGTTGAAGATAGTATCTAAAGAATGCTGTGAAAGGGGAGTAAAAGTTTTTAACTGTATGTAAGTACCTCGCGATATAAGAATTGACTTAATTTTACACACTTACAACGACAATACTTTCTATAGGAGGATTTATTATCAACAATTCGTATCAAGTAAGTTTAATTGACATCATTTTTTTTTAATTTTCTAAAGAGGTAATGAAGAATGATTACCCAGCATTAAGCTCCTATAAATTTTTGTAGAGTATAAAAATTGCATAAAATTGATATCAAATAATCTAAAAGAAAATTAACTTCTTTTAAATTTAAAAAAAAATAAAAATAAAAATTTAAACGTCCAATAAAATCTATCGATAATAAACACGTGGATTTTTTAATCGTATTACAAGACGATGATAACCAATAAACACTAACGTCGTTGATCACGTGATTATTTTTTTAAATTTGAAATTAATTTATGCATAAAGAATAGCCAATGAGTGATAAGTACAGTATATTTAAATCAGAATTTTAAACGAATAACTGACGAATTTATTTTAGTCGATCTGAATTTTAAAAAATCCATCGATTTTGAATTATTTAATTAAAATTTATTATCCTGAGCTAAAATTTAACCGAAACGGGAGTTGTTATCATTATTTTCTTTAAACGTCGATTGGTTGTATAGTGTAAAATTCAAATTTAATGAGTTTAATGCTTTGATAATTACCGAATATTGGTGTACTGTACTTTAAAATAAACACGAAACTAGATGATCCATTTCGCTTATTATATACACTAGCAAGAGTGTGGAAAATTGAAAATAAGGTAAACACATCGTTCTCAACTTGGCTTACAACTTGGAGAAAATCTAGCAAGGAACATGATATGCCAGTTTTTTTTAGTCTATAAAATCTGTCAATGTAATCGTGTCATGTTACAGCACTTGTCATCAGATGCTGGACAGACATCCTTCAATTGTGTCTCTAGAGGCAGGATGTCCTTCTGTCTTACTTGCCATAAAGAACACGTGTTTTCTCCCCCTTTTTTTCCTTTTCACTATTTCATTTCGCAACTTTTACTTTCGCATCAAACTTACTTTTTATAACAAAAGGAAACACAAGCAGTTTTTTTTTTATTTTATTTATGTAGGGAATGAAAATGTCAAGAACACTTTTTGTAGAGTAAGGAATATAAAACAGTCATAGATATATATATTTTAGAAATAGTAAACTGTTATCGATGTATTACTCCCTATCGAATGCATCAAGCTGCAACGAAATTGAAGCTGTCTGAAGTTTCAATTTTTGCACTTTTCCCCTCTTCTCCCTTTACACGAATTGTAATAAAACTTGCTTGTTTCCTTACAACACAACGCGTAAATTTAATTAGAAAATATTCTTGTTATTGTTAAGAATTTTTTTTCAATATTTAATTTAAAAATTTCGACATAAATTCATCTTATATGCGTGCTTTGTTTACGTAGCATCCGTTTCTATGACAATCTCCACATTTTCTATCCCTCTCTAGAAGACATTTTCTAAAACTTTCATATATTTGATAAAAATAAAAATGTTTTATACCACCGAAAAACAATAAAAAATTCGTTCCACCTTCAAAACAATTCACTTAACTCTAATGTTTGTATACATTAAATAATTCTAAAATATAAAATAATCTATAAGTGTATTAAAGTTTCTAGAATTCATTAACTTTTTTTTTTAAAAAAAAAAGAGTGTAAAGTATAGAGTTTATAGAAGTGTTAAACGGTATAAGTAGATTATTATGGGAGTATTCACCTATTGAAAACTCAATAGATCACTCGACATTATAGAGCAGAAACGATCCAATATTTACTTGTCAAGTATCAATTTAGCAGTTAAATAAATGTTAGATCTCGTATTGATGTAGTTAATGAGGTGATTGGAACTATCTCTAATTTACTGTATCAGTAAGAGAGAACTTAGTTATTCACTCCATCTTACATTCTAATGCACTTAAGTATAAATATCAATAGAACTAAGTTGTAAGAATCTATCATATGAAACATTGAATGCTCTTTAATATAATAAAACCTTTCAGAAACTCATTAATTGAAATTCTTATAAAAGTTTATATTTATATAAACGTTTAGGAATTAAGAATGTAAATAATAATAAAGTTTTATTTTGAGAAGAAAATTTGCAAATTATGCAATAGAAATTCCATCTTAATTGATTTTATGAATGAGTTTATTGATCGAAAAGTAGAAAAATCTGTTAGTTGAAATGAAACATAATTTAAAAATAAATGGATGTTTAATTGAGATGGTAATTATACAGAATAGTTCCATACATAAATAATAAAAATGCAATTAAAAATATAAATAAACGATCCCTCAGTAGAAAAGAAGAAGAGAAGGGAGAAGGAGAGGGGATTTTTACAAAAAAAAAATGACCTCTCAAGATTTTATATTTTTGGACTCAGGGGACCTTAAAACATCGAGAAATGCAAAAAAATTTCGGGGGTTTTTCTGTATATATGAGTGCTTGTTTATGGGGGCACAATTTTGCTCAACCAATTTGAAGCTTAATAGCTCCTGTGCCTTTTGTCGTAAATTTCTGAAATTTTGCGGGGAATTTCGTGTATTACAGACATTATTGTTATTAAATTTTGGTGATTAAAAGTCAAGGGGGTGGGAAAAAAGCCGGGGTCATGTTTCGTATCTGAAATAGGGTCGAACTTAAAGATTTTTACTCGTTAACATCATTTACAATTTTTCTATAAAACTCAACTCTAATCTCAAAATTAAGCTTTTCTGCCATTTTATAATACTTAATAATATAAAAAGTTTTTAAAATAAAATATAACAACAAATGGCATCAAACACAATTTTAAGTTTTTTACCGGAAAAGTTACGCAACTCGTTATTGGATTTTCTTTTTAAATATATTTTTCCTCTCTTGTAGTAGGGATTATTATTATAATTATAATAATCAAGGTTCATTGGCAAATTTGAAACAATTTTAAATGTAATGAATATACTAAAAATATTAAAATATTCTCCTCATTTTTCTTGTCATTATGGAAACAATCGATTTTCAAAATTATTTTATTTAAAGATAACTTTTTTTTTCTTTTAATTGTAGTTAGCTCGTTACTTCTTTCAATGGAAAAAAGGAGAAAAAAAGTACATTTGCAGTTCATAATGTTAGGAAGAATAAAAGAAAAGAAAAAAAGAGTAAATTTTATAAAAATTTTTATGACTTTTGAAACGATTGAATGATCTGATCGTCATCAAAAATGAATTTTTAGTTTTTATTTTAAAAATTTTCCATGTTTGTTCGATTTACTAATTAGATTTTAACGTAATAAATTATCGAGTCCTTATTAAGTTTTAATATTTTAATAAATTTTAATGATAATTTAATATATATATTTTTTCCTGTTTAATTTATTGATTTAAATACAATAATGAATTCTAAAATAATTTCAAAGCAATTAAAACAATAAAAGCATAAATTTATCTAAGTTTAAGTCGAAATAAATTGATACGAATTTAAGAATTAAAAATTGGAATTAAAGCTTTATTATTAATTAAAATTTGAAAGATCATTAAAAATTCTTAATTGCCATTAATACGAACTTTCAAGAAAGTTGTTTAATATTTTAGAAATTTTATATATATATAGAGGTTTTGTTACGTTCATGATCATGTAAATCTATTGCATTCTCTTTCTAGAATGCTGATGAGTCATGTCAATGAATAGTTGAAACAGTCTCGTGTCTCAGGGAAGATTATTAGCGGGTGGCATTGTTAGATCCACTCCTACCCTCTATTTAATTAAGGTCTCAGTGTGGTAGAGTATGGGAGAGAGATAGAGAAAACTGTAATAACCAAGTTTCTTTAGTCATTAAGGAGTTGTACTAATGTACTATCATTGCTATCATTAAATATTTATAAATGTTTATCCTTAGAAAAGTAAATTATCATTCAGATTATTTTTGGCTCGGGTTTAAATAATTAGCCATAAGTTGAAAAGTTTTTCTCCCTCTTTACTTTCCTTCATTTTTTATTATTATCCTCCCCTCTTTTTTTTTCTTAGCGAATAATTAAGAAATGTAGCATTTATATCTCTATGGTTTTGTAAGAGAATGAGAGCAGGTGGATCCATCAAGCAGGTAAAATCTTTTCTCCCACAGGAACAATCCTGAAAATGGTTAAATCGATTCGTAATATTATATGGCCTTGAGCAAGCTCGTAATAGTTTGATGTTCACAAATGCATCCACTTTTCTTTTCGACTACTGAAAACCTCTTTAGTACTTCTGGAATTTCGAATTAATTGAATACTTCCAATATAATATTCAGGATAAATATAATAATGACAAAAAAGAATTCGCTCTTTTCAACCTTTATTTACAAAAGTTTAGTTTCATTTTTCAATTTTTCACTCTTTTATAATATACGAAGATATTT